GTAGATCGTCTTCCATTTTATATCTGCAAAAAAAATTAATTAAATAAAATATTAAATAAATTAAATATTTAAATAAATTAAATACAAAATATTAAAAATATAATAAAATATACCTTAGACAGAGATTATAAGAGTATTTGAGAGAAGTTGAGAGAATTTGGTGTGATGAAAATGATTGAGGATGGGGGTATTTATAGGGAGGGATTGAGGTGTGAAACGTCGGGGTAGGTGGGTAATTATACCCAAGGCGTGCCGTAGGGGGCGCGCCTTATTGACGCGTGGTAGATTTTGGGGTAAGGCGTGGCCCCTGCACCGCGCCTTACTAATATGTGGCAGATTCTAGGGTAAGGCGCGCTACAGGGGGCACGCCTTACCCCATGTGACGCCAAATCAGCGTAAAGCGCGTTGTAGGCGTCGCGCCTTTCTGTAAAGGGTGTTAGATCAGGAAATATAGTCTGAACGGTGCCTGATCGAGAAATATATTGTCCAACGGTGATATATCGGGAAAATCGCCCAAATTTAGGACCTTATGGTTAATGTTCTTTAATTAGACGCTGCCACGCGGCCTACGTCAAATGGCAGCCATATATTGTATCTAAACCATTCTTTTTATGTTATTATTTTTAATGAACTTGATTTAGTTCGAAAATTTTCTTTTACACTTATTAATTTTAAAAAATAAAAAAATTACATTTCCAATAACAATTAACATCACTACAGCAAAACTATCTTTTTGCAGCATTTTTTTACATATAGCGGCGTTTTTAAGCGCCGTAAAAAACACATGCGCCGATATGACAAACGCCGTAAAAAGCACCGCTAAAGATCGCGACGTTCGGTAACAAAAAAACCACAATAGGTAACGATATATAGCGACGATTTTTCAACAAACGCCGCAATAGGTGTTTATATTTAGCGGCGTTTTGGAATAAACGTCGCAAGTGGTCAATATCTATAGCGGCATTTTTGGAACAAACGTCGCAAAAGGTCGATATCTGTAGCGGTGTTTTTGAACAAACTCCACTAATTACCTTTCTTTAGCTAAGATGATTTTGCATATTTCATTTCTAATTACCTAAATTTAATATCATCTAGCTTCATCTAATTAACAACAACCATACATTTTAATAAAGACACAAGTTATACAGAAAAAATACTTAACAACAAAATAAGGGAAATCGACAAAATTCTTGAAATAAGGGAAATAGACAAAATTGTACCCATGTTCATATAAAAAAAAAAGAAATAACACATACTTGAGCACCAAAAAAGTTTATCTCAATAACTTTACAAGTTTCAATACATCTAGTAGCTTTCTAGTTTTCTTCATCAACATGAAGAGGATGATGAAAGAGAAAAACCTGTCCCACAATAAAAAGAAATAAAAAAATCATTAGGAAAATAAAGAAGCAAATACACATGAACATACATTAAGCTACGAACACTGTCAAACCAAAGCCTTGTATATAAAAAAAGCACTAACTATTAATGCATGGATAAATTAGGACAGAAGGATAAGTAAAAATTGCTTGATCAGGCTTTCTAGAACTAAAATTCTAATGCATGATTCCAAAACTGATCCTAAATGTTTTAGCGATTGCATACTTATAGTTGGAAGTAAGTGTGTGGATTTGAGCAATTCAGACCTGTTGTCCCCAATGAGTTCCATTATTTGGACTAGGAGCAGTTGTTAACTCATTCTCTTGATGAGCAGGATCCTCTGCTCTTCCCTGTTGCACCAAGATAAGAAGAAGAGTTATCTCGCACACATTGAGCTTGCAAAAATTATAAAGAATGCTGCAAGTACTTAACAAATATTACAAGTAGATGCTCAAGCAAAATACTGAAATTACATGACAGAAAATAGTACAATAACACAACATAAATGCAAAGGTCCTCTTAGAATCAAATTAAGCTAAATTACATCTATATCTCATTTATATATTTTTTTAGAATTTTTAGTTGGCAAGATATCAACCCACACATATCTTACCTTAGTATTTAGCTAAGGCCTATGTGGAGGCATTTTCAACTAGTTCAAGTCAACATCCCTCAGTTTTAACTTTCCAAAGACCATCTTGCGACCACTGAGCTTGTAGCCACTTTCTTGCACCTAAAACATGCTTCATATATAGACCAAATCAATCAAATCTCACAATTTTCTTTTCGACCCAAGAATTTCAAAGTACTCTCAAATTAATCAAAATAGCATTCTTCTTGAAACTAAAAGGAAAAAGAAAGTGTTCGTGCTTAATTGCTTATTTATTATTATCACGTAAAAGTACCCAGTAGCTGAAGCTTTTAGATAGAGTATTATCATACTGATAAAAGGTTAACTAGCCAACAATCTGATTTTCGATGGCAGAGCCACATCATTTTGTAGGAAGTTGCTTACCAAAAAGAACGCATGACACATGGGCACGGAGGGGAAAAAAAGAAAAACAAAGGTCATAAAATAAACAAAAAATGCTTAACTAAAAAAAATGGGACACCCAAAAGAAACTTAAAATGATATACAGGTGAAATGAACTTCTAAAGAGTTTCTTACATGACTCCAGCTGGTTTCAGCCAACAATCTGGAGCACATATAACAGAATCAAACATAGATTTACGCAGGAGAAAGTAACCCATCCACTCAGAGATAATCACATCAACTGCCCATTAACAAAAATATAAGATCAGAGGAAAAAAAACTTGAAAACTCGTTTAAAACAAAGTGATAAAGTGAGGATCCTTTTTATAAGGGGGAAGACCAGTGGGATAAAAACATTCAAGCAATAAATCCATATTTCATGTCTAGGTAATCAAAACAGAAACATCTATATCTATAATTGGAGCCATCTAAGCAACTAAAAATAGAAAATAAAAACTAAAAGTTTAGTATATATAAGATCATCAGAACTTACTTTGAAGAAAAAAGATACACAGAGTTCAGGAGCTCGATGCCATTGTGTTGCTTTTCCTTACACCTAAGCTAGCAATTGTCTCGCACTTCGATTCTGTATCTAGTCGAAAGAAATCCCCATTAACAGCTGAAACATTGAGCATTAAAAATATAAATCAAAACTGAACCAGAAAATAATTGCAAAAACAATGACTAACATATAGCATACACCGATATCTATAAAACACCAGCAGTCAGCTTTCTTCAATTGGATACAAATACTCAATTTCTAAATATACTAAGCATAAAATTAAGAAATGGGGCAATAAAAAATTCTATCTATCTGATTACATTTCACATAAGCTCAATGAGGAATCCTCAAATCTATACACGGTGGAAATCGTTTTCCTTTTTCTTTCAAAAGAAATAGCACTGCAAGGGCTCGAAAGTCAAATCTTGAAGAATCCGGGAAATACCCGAAACTGAAATTCTTCGTCGGCGAAGAAGTATTGACGCCATGATCCTTTTCTTTTTCAATTCCTCCGGTTTAAATATTTTAATATTAAAAATTATTGTTTGTGGTTCTAAAATAAGATAAGATTCAAAGAAAACAGACATCATAAGATAGAGACGAAGATCAAGGAAACATACGGTAGAAGAGATAATAACCTGATCACCAAGCTGAGATGCAATAACAAGAGATAGCCCCCATAGTTGACCTTATCGTGCGAATTCAATGCTTCCTTGTTTCTCCTAGAGACAACAAGCCTCTGTACCTTTAGAGCCGTGGCCTTAACCACTAATAGGTAGCAATAATGAAAAATCTCAATGAAGTTTTTCCTTTTTGGAAAATGCATGAAAATAATATAAAATTAAAATTACAAGAAACTGGAAATGGTAGTCCATCTATACTTGAATATGTGCTTCATATGGAAAATTATACAAACAATGAACGACAGCACTGTGTGAACCTAATTGCATTCCATTCCCTTTCACAAACCCTAAAAGCTTAGTAATGGCTAACTCTGGGTAATCACTCTCCTGAAAGCAATAGAAAAAGAGATTAACATTGCATACAAATATACTCGAAAGCTTGAAACACGAAGAACCCAGATAAGATATGAACATTTTAAGATAAAACCAAAATGAAAATCAAGTAATAGAGAGAGGCCGGTGATTTTGGATAAAAAAAACTTCAAAATTACAACCAAATCTAAACATATGAAGTCAACAAAGGGATAAAAAAAATTGGGAAGAAATGATAGAACCTTACAGTGAGGGAAATAATAGGAAATATATGGTGATGAAGAAATAGATTTGAGAGAAGATATACTTTGAAATTTGAAGAGAGACGATGAAAGAAAAGGAGGAAAATATATAAATAAAAAAAAAGTACAGAGAGAGAGAGTGGCATGCCTGAGAGGAGGCTGAAGTGTTTCTTTGAATTTTTAAAAACTTAGTATCACGCTAGTTTAGTGGCGTTTAAGCATAAACGCCGCTAAAACTCATACTTCAGTGGCGTTTTAAGGATAAACGCCGCTAAAGACACGTACTGTAGTGGCGTTTTAGGCACAAATGCCACAATAAAGTAGTACTTTAGTGGCGTTTGTGCTTAAAACGCCACTAAAGTACTATTTTTAGCGACGTTTGTACAAAAACGCCACTAAAGACTAGTACTTTAGTGGCATTTTAAGCACAAACGCCACTAAAGTACTACTTTATTGCGGCGTTTATAAAAAATGCACTAAAATATGAGTTTTAGCGTCGTTTATGCTTAAAACCCACTAAAGTACTACTCTATAATGGCGTTTGTTAAAAAAAATGCCTCTAAAATGTCATTTTGTGACGTTTGGATTGTAAACGCCGCTATATGTTTAAATTTTGTGACGTTTACTCTCTAAACGCCACTACATAACAGTTTTGTTGTAGTGCATGTATCCGTAAAAGTATAAATTAACGTAAATTAATATGATATGAAAAGTGCATCTGTATAAACATGATACGTGAATCGAATTTTTATGGTATTTTAATTTGAATCTGTATATTTTTTAAAAAGATAAATTTATTTAACACTAAACATTATTTAATAATATTTGATTTAAACTAAATAACATTATTCTTATAATATTTAAATTCGCTTATTATAACAATTACTTAATCCAAAATGTGACGACAAACATTACTTGACGAAACTAGCGCGGATCTATAAGAAAACCATATGATCATTCCACCTATTCTCTAACGAATCATCACCACGATTATTGTCATAATCACTATTACTAATAATTATATTATATGGTAATTAAATATAAAAGATAATCACACGCTAGAGATAGACTTCCGGTGACTGCGAACAACGGGATATTCCGAGGGACAGTTGTTCCTGATGGCGGTGAGTTCGTAAGGTGGTGCATCGTTCGCCAACCACTGCTCCACCGAGAACTGCATCTGGCTACACGGTGTATGGACGCCGGTCATGGTGACTTCCACGTAGTTACAGTACCATCCGTGGTGCGGACCCGAGCCGTCGGAGGTCAAGTTCATGGCACAAACAGGGGCATCCAAGCAAAGTCCTCTGCCAGAGAAAATATCCAAATTACCCCTCTCGAAATAGTTGTAACCTGGACCCATTAAGCCGCCCCATGCTTCGAGGTTGGTGATCTCCACCCAGTGGCCGTGGGCATCGTAGAGTCGTAGGCCGATGATGGAATCGGTTCCCCCTTTCCAGATGGATCCCGTCCTTATGTAGACCGAGTAAACGCAATCGTCATCGTCCTGCAAGAAGAAAAAAAAACAGAGAGAGAGAGGTTAAAGATGGGGGTATGGAGGAGATTATATGAGTTATTGAGGCGCACTTACAGAAATAACTACGGACGAAAATGAGAGGAGGAGAAAGAAAGAGAGTAGTAGCAGAGTTGGGGTAGCCATTTCGTTTTTGAACGTTTGGAAGCTCTCACCACAAATATTCACATATAGTGTCCTATATAAATAAGTATGCAATATATTGGACTGCGCCCTATGAATTTTATTGCTTTATTTGGATGCTTTAATAAAATATTTAAAGGCCTCAAATCTTTAAATTAAATATTATTACATGTAAGAATGATTTAAACCTCAAATAAAATTTAATAATAATTAAAATTCAATAATTGACCAAACACATTTGATAGATTGATAAATGGATGTCCCTTTTTCCCATATGTATGGGGTAAGGGAAATGTAAGATAGTAGGCTACCCTCAACACCAGGTTGAGAGCAGCTTCCGTAAGAGACCTCCGAATTATGAAATGCCCTTAGTAGGACTCGATCCCACGACATCAAAATTAAAAACCTTGTGCTCTACCAACTGAACTAGATGATCATTTCATTTGATAGATTGATCAAGTTGTTAATCTTTTTTTTCTCGTATTCTTTAAGCTATAAATTCTAAACTCACTGATCCTCTATATAAGATTATGGTCAAATATAAATAATAGATAGTCAAAATTATATTTATATTTTATTAAATATGAATAATTAAGTACAAATTTTTTAACAAATGTATTCATACATTTTATTGTTAATAATTAAAAATATATTTTATTAATAAAAAAAAGTTGTGAAGTGTAAGTATTTAGCATGGTTTTTAGAACCGGATCAGTTAGCGAATCGGTTATACTATCGGTTCACTGGTTCAACCGGTCGAACCGGTCTGACCGGTCGGAAGAATCGGACGACGTCATAATTATTTAAAAAATTAAATAAAAATACAAAAAATATTTAATAAAAAAAATTTATATCACAAGTCATATTCAAAGTAAGTCATAACATATATAAGTTAAAAACCATAAAATCAAGTGAAACAAAATGATTCAAATTAACTACAACATAATATTTAAGGTAGAACATATTAAATAATAAATAAAATTATATAACTATAATTAAAAAATAAATTTGGGGTTAAAAAAATCATAACAAAATGATATTGTTTGGTTTAATTTTTTTTTAAAACAATCCCACATAGCTAAGAAACATAGAAGAGCATCCAAAAAGTCTAAAGAGTAAAAATATGAGAACAAAACAATCTCACATTGCTAAAAAACATAGAAGCGCATCACAACTAACTTCTATAAATAATAGAGGTAATTTGGCATTCAAAATCATGGAGCCTTTTGGTGAACATTGAGTGAACTATTATTTCACTTCAATCAAGCTCGAATTTTAGGCTTCAATAGAGTTTCTAATTTTTTTTTTGAGTTCAAGCCTTTTTGAGTTCAAGTTTTAATATTATATTTCGAGTTTGAGTTGAACTTGATAATTTTTAGCTTGAGAGTTTGAGTTGAATTGAGCTTACTTTTAAAGTTTTCAAGTTCGAGTCGAGCTCAGCAATACTCGAGTTCGACTTGGCTTGTTTAACAAACGATGTTGTTTGGTTTATTTTTAAAAAAAAAACAAAAATCCTAGTTTTTCCCGGTTTTCATCCGGTCCGGTTCGAACGGTTCAGTGGTTTTGGCCGGTTCACTAATAACGGTTCAACCGATTTAAATTGAACCGGACTAAGTAACGATTCCCGATTGAACCGACCGATCCGATCCGATTTTCAAAACAGAGGTATTTAAGTATCCAATCGACGTTTGCCGACTAATTCAGAATAAAGAGCTTTCGTTGAACAGTTGGCTTAACTGATATCACTCGTACTGTATTTTTGCTTAATATTATGTGACAAGTGTAAGATGGAGAAGGGGCAGATCGTAATTACGTGTGGGGTCAAACGTTATGCATTCCAGAGAAAACGGAAAGGCGATAAGAATAGACGGACTGTAATGTAATTTTATATTGAAAGTTATAGTTTTTGACACTATTTATCAAATTATGATTTCCATATCCTTCTTATATATTAAAAGTTTATAATATTTTTCGATTGAGTTAACTTCATTAGTATTATTATTTATATAATATATAAAGTTAAAATATAAAAAATAAAATCTATTAATTGATATAACATTGAGAGAGAAAAAAATTCAAAATTTCACAATTATTCTTGGGCCTACTTCAAGGACAGATGAATGCCATCAAATCATCATTCTACCTAAGAATTTGGGTTTCACAATACCTTGTCCAAATACAACCATTTGTTATTATGGGATGGGAGTGGATTAGGTTTACTAAATTTTATTTTTTATTTATAATTTATTAAAATATGTTATATTAGTATTTATATAATTAATTATATGTACGATATTATGGAGATCATTAAATTACGAGATCAACATTATTTTGATAATTTAGTAAAAAATATTAATAAAATTAATAAAATTTTAATTTGATTTTTTAAATAAATTAGTATAAGAATATAATTCTCATTTTATAAATTTGATTATAATTAAATATATATTTGACATCTCAATAGTTATATATTTTATTAATTTGATTTTAATTTTAATTAAAATTAATTAAATAAATTTAATATTCTAATAAAGTTGTTTAGGTTGCACCAACTTGAGGTTAAATTTTGATGAAATTTGTCAATTTATAGGATTTAGAATTAGGACTAGGTTCAAATAACCGAACTAATTCGGTTAATCGACCAAACCGAATTAGTTCGATTAATTCGGTTTGGTTACCGAATTAGTTCGGTCAGTTAACGGTTAAGAAAATTTTTAGAATTCGGTTAACGGTTAATTCGGTTCGAATTCGGTTAATTAACTGAATTAATCGAAATTAAATTTTAAATTTTAAATATATTATATATAACATATGAGCTCAGCTCAAACCATTTAAAACCCAATTAATAATTTAAGATCCAATAAATTTTAAACTTAAATCAATATTAATTAATAAAAAAAATTATATAAATTTTTTATTTTATAATTATATATTATTTAAATTAATTGTAAACTGTTTTTTTAATTAAAAAATATTAAATATATTATATATAACATATGGGTTAAGTCCAAACCATTTAAAACCCAATTAATAATTTAAGATCCAATAACTTTTAAACCTAAATCAATATTAATTAATTAAAAAATTTATCTAAAATTTTTATTTTATAATTATATATTATTTAAATTAATTATAAACTTTTTTTTGAATTAAAAAACATTTAATTTTTATATAAATTAGAAAATTAAAAAAAATGGTTAATTCGAAAATTAACCGAATTAATCGAAATTTATTCGGTTCGGTTAATATTTTCGAAAAAAAAGTTCGGTTCAACTAACGGTTAAAGAAAAAAAAATTCAATTATTTCGGTTCGGTTTTAACCGAATGAACAACCCTAATTAGGACTATAAACGAGAGACATACCATGAGTTACTTGAGTTCAAGTTGTTAAAGTTTAATCAATATTCAAATTGAATATGCTATATTCAAGTTCTTAATAAGTCGAAACGAGTTACTTGATATATAACTTAATAAAATAATATATTATTTTTTAATTTTTAAAATTAAATTATTAATAATATTAACATTCACATGCTATTTGTTTTTATAAAAGTACTATATAAGATTTTCATGTACTTAAAGTTCAAGTTCACACTCAAGTTCGAGTTTGAATTGAACTAAGCCCGAGAATGTTTCAAATTCAAGTTATTTTGAGCTTGACCTGAGCTTCAATTTTTAATTTAAGTTTAAATCGAGTTTAACAATTTTAAGCTCGCGAGTTTTTAAGTCAAATATAGCTCAATTTTAAAATTTTTAAATCGAGTGGAACTTAATAATACTCGAACTCTACCCAACCATTTACAATTCGACTTAGAATCACATGGGGGAGCTAATGTTGGGATTGAAATCTCATTTATTTGGCATTTCCTACTTAAAGTTTCATTTACTGCTGGCTTAAAATCTAAAATAATTCCCAACTTATTAGGTATGGTGTCGATTGCATGGGGTTTGAAAATTCATATATTGCTTGATTTTACCAGGGATACTATACTTGGTACTTATTATATTGGGCTTAAACTCTCAATTAAATGCCAACATTGGGCTTGAAATCTCATTGATTCCCAAATTCTTACCCAACTTACTCTTCCCAGGGCTAAAAATCTCAATTAAGTAGAGAGTTCATACTCAAGAATTGCCATACTTGTTACTATTATCTAACGTGTTTTTCTCATCAATATAAGCTTTTGATAGCGTCATTTGGCCAATCATAATTATGAAAAAAATTCTTTTCCTCTTTATCCGATCAAAACTTAAAAAACTTTAGCAAATATATTATCAGATGGTGGATATTACAAGAAAAGAGGGAGAAATGAGTTGGACACAGAGAGATGGCAAAAGGGTTACTAGATTAACTATATTAACTGGAAAAAAACAGCGTTGTCCCAGTCAAATCCTTAACAAAATAACGGTTTTACGTACCAAACAAACGAAATAACCGCTTCGATACCATGCAAACCCTAAATCCTTCCCTTCCCTTCCCTTCAACAATCCAATTTCTTTTTCAGTCGCACCCCATCTCCCCAATGGAGGAGCGGGTTGCCTATACCGTCGTGGATCCTTGGTCGCACCGCCATGACGCTTACCCGCAGCTACCTTTCCCTCCTCCTCCGGGCCACCCATGGTCCTACTCCTCCTACGTTGTCCAGGTCCCTAAAAATCAAGTGTACCACGTCCCGCCCCACGAACACACCCGGATAGAAGAAAATTTCCGGAAGGCAGCGGCTGAGAAGAAGCCAAAGAGAAAATTTCCGTGTTTGAAGTACCTTTTCTGTTTGATCATTGTTCTGTTCATGTTTGTTTTACTAATCGGCGCATCTATAACAATTGCTTCCTACAGTTTTAAGCCTAAAGATCCGTTTTCTCCGTTTCAAATGTGGCGGTCAAGTATAATAAGGGCAGTCCCCCTACGTATGATGTCAGATTGAAAGTCAAGAACTCTAATCCGAAGATGGGGATCGAATATCCTTCGGATATAGATGATTCGAAGCTATCTTTCACGAAAAAAGTTCCGAAATTGAAACATGAAAATGGTGATACGATCGACGATCTAAATATAAAATTTAT